ATTATTATATATTATTATTATTATTATTATTATTATTATTATTATTATTATTATTATTTGATATTGGTACAATGTCTCGTACCACCATATAACTTCCTATTATTTTAAAAACTAAAATGTACCACAAAAAAACATGCGCAGTCTTTCTTTTAATTTTTTTTTTTTCTCTCCAGAGGCCACAAAAAACCACTATCTCTCAGGAATTCAAAATTCACTCTGATCTATCTCAATCGTTATACTCTACACCACGGTGCACACAGCATTGTGCGCCCCGCGCCTCCCAAAATGACATCGTTTTGTTAAGTTGTGTAGGAAGTTGACGCGATTATGTACATTATGGTGTACAATTATGTACATTTTTATTCGGTTAATCAGTCGGTTAAATCCTAAAAATAATACATATAATAATAAATCAATAAGAAAATATACAAAAACATATATATATATATATATATATATATATATATATATATATATATATATATATATATATATATATATATATATATATATAATTTCGGTTAAGTGACAATTTCGAACCGAATTAACCGTTAACCAAAATTTTAAAATCTTTAACCATTAACCGAACCGAAAAAGTTTGGTTAAAAATGGTTAACCGAACTTTGTCGGTTCGGTCGGTTAACCAAACATTTACCGAAGTTTGCACACCCCTAATCAAGACAAGCATGTGGATCCTACGTACTTTCACAACATTTCTTTCAAACAATCCAAGTCCGTCCAAGATCACAATAATTTCACTGCAAATCAGATCATCAAAAGATATCATTATGTTCCGAAAGGACAAAAGAGTGGTCAAATGAGTGGAGCATTATTTGAAGATCATTATAGAATTCGATTTTTGTCAGCACTCTCTCGATTTTTGTGCACATATAAACTAATGATTGTGTACCAATATCAAATAATAATAATAATAATAATAATAATAATAATAATAATAATAATAATAATAATAATAATACCCATTTTGGTCCCTCGACTATTAGATAATAATAGCTAATACCCATTTTGGTCCATCGACTTTAGATAAAATGACGTTTTTGCCTCTCTTTATAATGGTGGATGGATGTCAATTGTAACGGATGACCAAATTGGGTATGATTTTACAACTTAGAGGACTAAAATGGATACTTTTAATAGTTTGGGACTAAATTGTGCATTACCTAATAGTCAAGGGACCAAAATGGGTATTAATTCCATCATAAATTTATAAATGATATTTCACTTTTATTTATTTTTAAAAATATTTTTATTTGGTTTTAGTATTATGGTGAAATGATCATTTTTTGTTATCTATAAACAAAATCGTTTAAATTTTGTTTAATGCAAGAGTATTTAGATCTTCAATTATTAATTTTTTCAAAAAAAATAAAAATAAAAAATATAGTGGGTCACACTTTGTATAAAAACAACAATCAAAATGTTCTTGTATTTATCGACATTTTAAAGTTTTATTGACAGATGACAAAAAATGATCATGCCACAATAATACTAGGATCAAATGATGAGGATTTTCTAAAACAAAAGACTAAAAGTAGGACTATCAATTATAAATTAAGGACAAAAAATGAAATTATCTCAAAGCAAAAAATAAAATATACTAAAAAAGTAATTGTGATTTTATAATTGTTGATTTTTTTTTTTTTTTTGAGACAAAGGAAGGGCGATGCCCCGAAAAATAAAATAATCAAAAAATCCTAATCCACACAGAAGGAAGGCATCCTCTGGCGTCTTTTTTTAGATTTGAGACTCCAGAAAGCCCGGAGGACAAGACGACAAAACAACTAAAGTAGAACTCAAGCTTTTGTTTTTCGCGAGCTAATACACGACTTGATTTTGCTCCATTATAAATATGGTGACACTTGACGCTCGAATTACTTCTCATCCTCCTTTTGCATTTACAATTGTTGATTTGATTCTTCTTTTATCACCAAAAAAAAAAAAAAAAAAAAAAAAAAAAAAAAAAAAAAAAGCACTTCAGCTATTTTAAGGTGTTGCTATTTGCAAATTGATTTCTCTGTTAAGGATATATGTGGCTGACATATTCTGTCTATATATTTGTTATAAATTATGCTCTTGTAGAATAACTATGTTAGACTAGTTGTTGTAACTCCGTACTACTTATTCTCATTGTGTACTATTTATAGCTATCTATTTACATCAATAAACACATAGTTCCATTCCATTACATTCTCAACACACAAATTTACAATTAAGAAACTCTATTGAGGCCTCCAAGCATTTTTTTTTTTTTTTTTGGGGGAGGGGGGGGGGGTGAGTAGGCCTCCAAGCATTTCAATTACAAGAAACTGACAAAAAAACATTTCAATTATATTCAATTTGTAAACACCCAACAAGCATTTTAATTTTCCACTGTCATATTATATTCAATTTGTATAGTGAAAAATCGAGTTAATGCGCAATTTAGTCATCAACTATAGTGATTTTTTCGATTTAGTCGTGATGGATGGTATACTGGGTGGGGCCTAGGCCACATGGACCGGTCCAAGAAAATAACTAGATCAAGGAAGCTTGAGAAGGAATGAACAACTTGGCCATATTCATAGTTCAATAGGATTGAGATGATTATTCATAATATAATAAGGATTGAGCTCATTATTCCTAATGTAGTAGAACTAAGGTTTGTTATTCCAATTAACAATAACTCCCAATATGAGTATTCTTATTCCTTGTAGGGCTCTATACCCAAAAATATGTATAAATAGATCCCATGCATGGGAGGAGGGGGAAGCAATTTTCATTATTCAGAAGCAATATTTAATAATACAATACATATATTCTCTCCATATATTTTCTCCATATTTTTCCATATACTGTTATTTTAACGGTTGTGTTTGGACAACGTTGACTACTCAAAAGTCATAAAATCAAAATTGGCGCCGTTCGTACAATCGTTATGCGTTGGACCCGTGTCCATCATGCTTGCTGGACACGGGTAACAGTGCCGTTAGGCACTGTTATCTCCTTTTTTTTTTTTTTTTTTTTTTTTTTTTAAAAAAAATTTCAGACCGCTTCATTGTAATAGTATATGTTTCATAATTTTATTACTATATGTTAATAACTATACATTCATAACTCCATAACTGTACGTTCATAACTCTATAACTGTACATTCATAAACTCCATAACTGTACATTCATAACTCCATAACTGTATATTCATAACTCCATAATTGTATATTCATAACTCCATAATTGTACATTCATAATTTTCGAAGCTCTATGTTCACAATTTTAGAGCTCTATGTTCATAATTTTATCACTATATGTTCATAATTGTACGTTCATAATGTTAGAGCTCTTTGTTCATAATTCGATCAATAACTGTACATTCATAATTCCATACTGTAGATTCATAATCTCATAACTGTAGATTCATAACTCCATAACTGTAGATTCATAACTCTATAACTGTACATTCATAACTCCATAACTGTACATTCATAATCTTCGAAGCTCTATATTCACAATTTTAAAGCCTCCATGGTCATAATTTTATCACTATATATGTTCATAATTATAAGTTCATAATGTTAGAGCTCTGTGTTCATAATTTCATAATTGTATAACTGTATATTCATAACGGCATAACTGTACATTCATAACGGCATAACTGTATATTTATAATTAAAAAAAAAAAAAAAAAAAAAACGCCGTTAACGGCAAAACGCGCGCAAATTTTTTCTTTTTTAACTAAATGACGCGTTTTTTTTTTAAAAACGATGTCGTTTTGGATCCGTGTCCACAATTCAATGTGGACACGGGTCCAGGGCATAATTTGCCCCGTTCGTAGGGATCACTACAAATACTCCCGTGGTCCCTATCTTGAAAAAAATCTCCTCAAACAATCGGCTTTTGCAACAATACTCTACAATATATACATTCTAACCACGGTCTTCGAATTCAGACCTGCATCGAGTCTCCAATTCAAACCTACATCGAGTCCTCAATTCGAACCTGCATCGAGTCCCCGTGTTGGACTAGCAATCGATTAGCTCTTACTCTCATAAAAAATTGGAATATAATAGCCAAAAATATCAACTGAGCGAACACAATTCAAGACACTGACTTCTATGAATTTCCATTTATAGTCACGCCCTTGTAATAAAAATTCTTATATTAAAAATAGTTACATAGATATTAATATAATTTACTAATAATAATTTCCTAGCGATATATGTGCCGCATATACAACTCAATTTTTTTTTATTTTAATTTGGGAAAGAACTCCACGACTCATTAGGTTAAGAGATTAAGACAAAACTAGTTTTGACTAGTAAAAGATTTAATTATCATAAATCTTAACAGGGAGTTTGGTTCACGGAATGTGTAACACCCCAAGACTTCAGAAAAAAAGAAAAGCCGATCCAACCGGAATCGACATCCGTACAACGCCTTTTTACTCTTTGAATTGTTAGTCTGTTAGTTGTTAATATATATTTTCCTTCTCCTTAAGCATAAATAGGAAAATAGATTGTATTTTGGATTATGTTTTGGCAAATTAATCAATTCCTTTCTCTCGAATCTCTCTCTACTTCCCTCTCTATTCTTTCTCTCTCGCCCTCTGCATTTCTTCTTCCTCTTCCCCAATTTCTGCCTCCTCTTCTTCTTGTAATAATGTTCTGCCCTTCCCCTTTCTCCCCTGCTTCACTCTAAGATTCATTAGGGAATGTTAGATTACCTTAGGGAATGTTAGATTGTTGAGAATGTTAGATTACTGGGAATGTTAGATTCTTGTCATTACAAGAAAATTGGTCATTAATGAGAGGTAAAACCGTCACTAAAGAATCAAAAACCATCATAAAAGACTTTTAATGATGGAAAATTTACCGTCGCGACCCGTCGTTATACTTTCTACGGTTAAAAACAATTCATGATGGGATATGATACCGTCATCAGTGAGCATATAGTGATAGTATATTTACCGTCACTAAAATGTTCTTTTTGTGACAAAGAATCCTAATGGATATATTACGATCGGAGCAAGACCCGGAGCCCGAACCACGGGGCCTCGACCAACGAGGCCTCGGCCCACTGGGCCTCAACCAACGGGGCCTCGGCTCACGAGGCCTCAGCCATCATTCAGCCGACCCGCCCTGGAGAGGTCGTTCGGGAGAGGTTGTCCGCGGGAGGTCGGCCGCGAAGAGGTCATCCACGAGCAAGGCCGACCTGGAACCGGTCAAGGAGGCGCGGTCAACACGGATCTAACTACCCCTCACCTTAGGGGTGGCGGTTGGGGGTGGGGATTGTATAAAAAACCCCACCTTGTCCCTTTAAGACATCTAACATTCATTCTACACACTTTGTCCTAAAATACTATTGTAATAACATATTTACGGCATTTAATACGACATACGGTCTCCAACGACCTTTACGACATCGTTTCGTGTTATCTATTTATTTATTATTCATATTCTTATCCGGATTTAGTGATTCGGATCCACCCCGGGTAATTAAATCCATCATTGGTGCTCTTGTTGAGAGTTGTTGTACTAGCTCAAGCGTGTTCTATATTCAGTGGTCTACCGCGACCAGCTACTATGGCAAGATCAAGATCCAACTCTCGCCACACCAACGGTTCCTGCGGCACCCAGCTCGTCGCAACCGGGAACAGCCCCAACGGGGTCCCCAGCCTTCAACCGGCCACCTCTGCCAGGTCGGGAGAGACATGAGAGATCGCCTCACCAACCACCGCAGCGGCGGTGTCCCACCTCCCGCTGCCCCGTTCCGCCCCAAGCCCTTGTTCGCGAGGGGGTGGAGGTCTTTGAGCAAGCCTCCACGGCGCAGGGCCTCCGAGCAAGTGTGCCTGCCGACCCAGGCGTTAACCAAGGGTTACCGGCACCTCCTCCACCTCCTCCCACCCGGGGGCGCAACGGTCCAAGCACCAGGCCACCCCAGGCACCATCACCCAGGGAGAGGTCAATTCGCCCGCCAGACGGACACACGGGAGGAGGGGACTCACGGCGCGACCGACGTCATGACGACAAGGAGAGGAGGTCAAACCAAACCAGGCCTGCCCGGGAGAGGTTGGGCAGCCGAGTGCTAGCCGAGAGAGGTTGGGCCCAAGGCCTGCCGCCAACGAGCCTCCACCAGCAGAATCATGTTCCCGCAGGCAAGCACGACGACAATCAGTCACCCGGAGGTCGCCAAGCCACGGACCCGAGCCCAGCCGCGACAAGAGGCGGGCTCGCGTAAGTCACCAGGTCGGGGGACTCGAGCCCTACCTCGGCGTGAACAGGCCTCCCGGGTCAAACGGTCAGGTGAAACGAATGGTAGAGCTCCGAGCTCCCATCGGAAGAGGTCGAGCAGCTGCGGAGGAGGATGGACGAGCTCCAGAAGAAGATCGACCCCCCCTCACACTTAAGCTTTTGCTTGTCCTCAAGCAAAACTAAGGAATAAAATCACAAGTCAAAACATACAAATTACTCTTGCTCTCTCTTGCACAACCTTTCAAACCACCAACCCACTTGCTACAAAATAACAAGCTTCAAGAATCAAATTAGTTTGGCACATAAGAGACCTATTTCCAAGCCAATAACCAAGCACCAAGAATTTAAAGTATGTGAGGATCAAGTGTGGACAAATACTCAGTTGAGATTATGCAAGACACGGCTCATGAATGAGATCCCATAGGCTTGCCCTTCATACTCCCCTTGATCAAATCTAAGAATTCATGCTAAGATCAAATAGGACTTTATTTAGCTTGTAATGGGGCTACGGGTGATAGCTAACAAAGAAGTGGTATGGAAAAATTAATCAAAAAGAGAGAATGTCACAATTTATCTAAACTTTTCAAAATTTGGAAGAGATGAGATAATCATAATTCCAAGGAGCAAATTTCTTTCAAGAACTTAGCAACTCTTTGATAAAGTGGGATCCAAACTCAAAAACTTTCAATCTTTTTTGTTTTTTCTCATTCTTTTCTTTGTCTTTGGACTTCTTTTGGATATAGCAAGATAATTTTAATCCAAACTTTCATGACCTCCACACTTGAACATTTGTAACACTAGCTGCTTTTTTCGTAGCACAACTCCATAAAACTCTTCTTACGGAAAAGATGAAGATAAAAGTTTCATTCTCTCAAGGGTGGAAGGGAAATATTTGGCCACGGGCTAAGGTTATAATAATGGGGTAAATCAAAGAAAAACAATCACAAAGAGGGATAAGTGCTTAGCACTTATTTGAACAAACAAAAGACACAATGGGGATACGAAGGATAAAATATATATAGGGACAGGTTTAAAGGGTATGGCTAAACAAAAATGGCCTAAATCACTTCAAAACATGCAAAACTTAGACATCTGATGGGCATATTTTACGCTCATATTTTAGGTACATCTTTATAATATCTTTATATTAATTATTTATTATTATCTAATAATTAGTTCTTTTATATACATAGTATAATCTATTCTTATACTATATATAATATATAATTTATAAGAGTACATACTACGTACTTAATACTATATATATATATAATATACAATATAATATATAATAATATATATAATATAGAATGCATTATAGTATACATATAATGCGTACTACATTATAATTACTATATATATATATATATATATATATATATATATATATATATATATATATATATATATATATATTATAAATCTAAACTTTACAATTGATTTTTTCTTTTTTGTACAGGCATGCATCATAATAACATGGCTAGAATTGTGGAAGACTCAGGCATAAGGCAAAATAATAGGAAAAATGAGTGGTAGAAAATGATTGGGAAAATATATAAATAGTTAAGGTTTTCTATTGTAAAATGTTCATTCTTCCCCTCTCGATTATTCTGTAAAGTTGTTATCAATGTCCATTCATTGCTAATTTCTTTAGTTGGTTTAGTGAATTGAAGCCCCGGAGTTCATAACGCTGTAAGGTTATTTATTTAACTTTATTATATATATGTTTTTATGCATTTTGAGTATTAAATATTCTTCTAAATTATTTGAATAGTTGTATCATTTAATTGCTAGGAGGCCTACTAGTTATTTATTTGATATAATTATTTGCTATATTAGATAATGTTGTGCTACAAATTATTCTAATATTCAGTAGCAACTGAGGTTAATTATTGACAGCTTAGTGATAATTGGTCTCGGGTAGAATATTTTCCTAAATTAAATGCAACCGCTTGTGCTTGTGTTATTTAGTTTGTCGGTTTTCCTAGTTCCTATTGCTGCTATTAAATTAAATCTATAGCGCTTGTCTTAGATTATTTAGTAGTTAGGGGTAATTAAACCGTTTGTGCTTTATTTACCTACAACTAAGGGAAAACAGAAATGAAATAATTTCCCGACAAATATTCAATTGCATTTAATTACTTTATTAATCAATGATCAGTGCTGAATTCCGGTGGTGGATCTTTACTAACCAAGTTTTCTTATTATAAGTGTTTTCGATATATTTTTTCATTGCTTTATTCGTTCAGTTAAATTACTTGTTTATTTAAATTCTCTTTTAATTGATCTTTATTCTCGATATATTCCAAACCCCCCTTCCTTTAATTTGAGCACATATTTTAAACTAGTTACTCCTCGTGGATCGATCCTTACTCCCGCTACTACGTTTGTAAGGTTTTAATTTGGAGCCTACGACAGCTCACCAACATCACTTAGGGAAGTAATGAGGCAAGTTCTAGCAAAACACCATGACCGGAATCTCACATAAGCCTTCACTAGCAATGCAAAACACAAGATCAAGAACTAATCCAATTATTAAGTGGTTAACAAAGCTATTGGCAAGAGAATAGATCAAATATGTGTTACACCTCAAATCATCCATCACAAATTGAGATGCAGCAAGCACCACTAAAACAAAACCACAAACCAACAAGAGAGAATAATTGTAACTGCATGCTAAGACAAGTAGCTTATTCACCAAAAATAGCATATGAGTCATCCAAGCAAAAGCAAAAAATTTTAAAATTTAGAAATATCCCCAAATTTATGATTCCTCCCCCTCACACTTAAAACTTTGCATCATCCCTGATGCAAAATAAAAGAAAAGTAAAACAAGAGAAAGAGAAAAGCAAGAAGCAATAAAATAATCACGAACTAGAAAATAATAAAACTAAATAAGACGAAACTAGAAAGCAATAAATAAATAGGGAAAGTAATAAAAGATAACATGGGTGCCTCCCATGAAGCGCTAAATTTAACGTCGTTAGCTCGACGTTACCTCTCTAGCCATCAAGTGTGGAGAAGAAAAATCCCCTTCTTTCCATCAACTTTCTCTTCCAAGTATTTCTTCAAGTGGTGTCCATTTATAAACTCTCTTAAGCTCGAACCCTTCACGTCATCATGTAAGGAACCACATTTGCCCGAATCAAGAATTATGCTCCATTCTCTTTTCCTTCTTTTTCAACACTCTTTTGTTCAACAAGTAATGAGAGTCTCGGATCATTCACATGAACCAGAAAGTATTGGGAATCATTGGATATATAGATAGGCAAATGTGTGCCATTATCCTTAAGAACTCCAATGCCTCCAAATTCAAAATTTCTCTGAAGTTCTCTCGAGGGAAGTGTTCTCCATTGGTGAGACATCCTCATTCAAATCATGTGCTCCATTAAGAACTTCCTCATCTAATGGGCAACTCTCTATATGTTCCTTGCCATCATTACTTTGCAACTCTACATTTTCTCCCAGCTTGGTGTCTCCATCTCAATGCATTTATCAAATATTTCTTCATCTTCCTTTCTAAGATCCTCATCATCCTTTTTATTCTCTCAACTTCATGACCTTCATTTGGCAAAGCAACTCTTCTAGAACCTCTCCATTAAATGAATCTTGAAGTGGCTCTTGAATTGTCAAATCTTGCTGTCGAGCCATCATGCGATCGAGTCGAGCATTCATGCGATCAAGTTGAGCATTCATGTGATCTTGTAACTCCAGATATTTCGAGCACAATTGCATTATCTTGGTCTCTTTGGACTTCATCTCAATTATTTGGTCAAGTGATTGACAATCTTGTTGAAACTCTTGGTACGGCAACTCTTGAGCTCGCCCTTGATACTTGTAATTGGGATCCATGATAAAGCAATTTTCCGCCTCATGAGATCCACCACATATCATGCACCGTGAGGGTCGTTGTAGTATAGTGGTGAGTATACCCGCCTGT